CATGAAAGGTTGAAATAAAAAATGGGCTCAATGCAAAAGTCAAATGCAAGAAAAGCCACAGATTTGCTCGCCTTATGCACTCAAACCTTGTTTTCTCATCATCACAAATTGTAAAAACCCTTCAGATTATTGATAACATGCACACAAATCGCGATATAGGCGATTTTGAGGCCGAAGTTCGAAGAGCGAAAGAAAATGCTGATGAGGTAAACTTTATAAGTATCATTCTGTGATAGAAAACAATAATATGTAATAATAACAGGTAGAGTCTACCGTAAGAGAGTTGTTCAACGAACGACAAGCCCGTGAACGAGAAGCAGAAGAGATTGCAATGGAAATTGAAGAACAGAAACGATTGAATCAAGCAGTTCTGACCGGAATGGTAAAAAGAATTTTGCACTTCTCTCATCGTTTTTTGTCATTAGCTTCGTATTCAGAATTTTACTTGTTTCCTTCATATCAAGCTTTGTCACGAGATAGTGGACATAATTATATTTGACAATTTTCTTTTTTCGCCTCTAGGATTCAGGTATTCGCCAACACTACGATGAGTGCAAAGCAAAGAGCGAAAGCTTGCGGGCGGAAGTAGATGAGATGCAAGAAGAGGTGAACCGAATGAATGAACAGATTGATCAGTACGAAATGGAGCTCAGCAATTCACCTCTAAAAAAGAAGGCCGGTAAGGGAAAATACATTTGTACTTTGCAAGTTTGCGAGTCACTCTCATTATTATCTCTTTCAGTCCAACTGCAGCAAAATCTTATGGAGTTGGAGAAAAAACGAGCATTGCTGCTAACTGAAAAGGAAGCGAAAGAAACGCCGGAGCAAAAGAAACAGAAGCTCATTGAGCAAATGCGAACAAACAATGAAGATATTGAAAAAATGGAGAAACAGTAAGGCCCTGATTGAGGAAGAGGGTCCTACAAAAAACAGGTTATTCTTTCCAGGCTGCAGAAAATCAACGAACAGATCAACATCGCACATGAAGAGCTCCGCGAATTTGATTCAAGCGCAAATGAGAAATTAGGTAATAAACAGATTCAGAACTTTATTTTACTCAATTATAATCTTGTGGTATGTCCAATGCTTGTAGGTCGTGTTTGAATAACCAAATCTTTTTATCTAAAAC